ATACATATATGAATGAAATTGATTTGACTCGAAATACGTCAATAGCTAAAATGATCAAACAACTCATGTTAGATTTCACTGGATAGGTATGCAACAATTGACAATACTTATTTTATGACAAACGAATATTTTGTAATCTTCAAGAGCTTATAAACCTATGTATATATGAAATGTATTTAGGCATTATATGCCTGTTGGATAATGATAATAATGATAATGATAATAATAATAATAATAATAATAATAATAATAATAATAATAATAATAATAATAATAATTTAAAAAAACTATTTTTTCTTCAATCATGCTGATACACAGGCAAAACACAACTAACTGAGATTTAGTACAATTGAGAAACATGAGAAGTCTAATGTGCATGATCTGGGCTGCCTGGGTGACGCAGCGTTGAAGGCTTTGTTGCCGACGTTTCAACCATCCTGTCGTGGTCTTCCTCACTGATATGCGGAAGACCACGACAGGATGGTCGAAACATCGGCAACACAGCCTTCGACACAGCGTCACCCGAACAGCCCAGATCACGCACATGACTGGCCCACGAAAGCCCACAACTTCATGAGAAGTCTAATGTTTTATGCATCTACTCATCCCACATGACCCTACAATTATTATTAAAAGTCAATGGAATGAACTATTATTAATCTAAGAACTTTAGCTGTTTATGCTTACGTTTCAAACTGCATTCAGATTTTTCAGATAATTCACTGGTCAAATCTTCAGTCTTTCCACTTTCTTCCAAAGCTATTTCTCCTACCCTGTAAAATAAGTTCCATAATTGCATACAACATAGTCCAACATGTGTGTACATATTTTTAACTTTCTTGAATAAGAAAGTCACTACTGTTATAGCACCAATAGTTTATTTTTAAGATCAAATATTACCTTAGGAATACTTCCTCGAGAGTTGTAATGGACACACCAACACTTTCAATTCCAAGCGGAACACGTTCCCTTTGCAGAAGAGAAAAAAGCTCTGGGAACAAGCTCCTCTTTTCATCAGGAAGAGAGAAGGTCATCAAAGACGCAACACTAGTTTTCAATTCAGCTTCTGCTATTACAGCCTTAATAGCTGTCTCAATTTTGTCTGGGTCACTAGAAGATTTCTTCAAAATCGAAAGAACATAGCCAGTGCCTACACAAAATTGGAAATGCAGATATTAAAATAAAATATTAGTATTTTCACACAAGTTTGAATGCACAAAAATATCTCAAAGCACAAATTTAATAGGCCTATCACACATACTATAATGACAATGTTATAACAGCTACTGAAATTACAAAAATTTATAGAATGTGAATCAGAATGTCATAATTCACATTCTATAAGTTTCAATGTTTAAAAGTATCAATATTTATAAGAATCAAATCATGGCAGAAGTATTTCTAGAAAATAAAAATATGAACCAAAGAACTGTCACGAAAAATTCGATAAAGAATGAATAAACAAACATAAGATTCATTCTTAAATTAAAAAAAAAAAAAATTAAGAATATTAATGAACAGTAAAACCTTATCCAAAATAGCTATTTTCTTTGAAAAATTTGGATTGGTTTTTAAGAAAATGGTGCTTAAACACTACAGTAAATTCAAAATTTGAAGCATTTTTCACAGAAAATTTTTAAGTTTCAACTCACAAATACAATAGTGTTTTTAAATTGCTGGAAAAAAGCAAATTACCAGCACAACAGCTCTTTAAAAAAAAAAGACGTGTAAATTTGAAAAAACAAAAAAATTCCCCAAAATGAACTTTACCTCATATTAATAAGTGCAATTAGCACTATCCTTTCGAAAATTTTGAACAAAAAATTTGGAGCAGTCTTTGAGAAACTGGCCTTTGAGTATTTCTGAAATTGTCAAATTTTGAGCTAGTTTTGACAGAAAACATCTGACTTTTTGAGAACTTTTATATGACATTATTTAGAGCACATGTACTCATAAACACAATTTAAACAAATTGCTACTAATGTAAATATTAATGCCAGAAACTCATCAATTTTTGAAAAAAACAAAAAAATAGAATAATTTGGCGTTTATGTCATTTCATAGAGTAAATTTAGCACAATCCTTACCCAAACTTTAAAGAAACATTTTTGGAGCCGTTTATGAGAAAATCTGGTTCTTGTAATTTTGTTAAAATTGCACACAATACTGCACAAAAACTACTAAAATTTTCAAACATGTATTTTCGTTGAAATCTCGAAATCTACTTTCCCTATACTACATATATTATTCCATATATATGTATGTATGCTGGAAAGTAATAAAGGGAGAAGGTCAGGTCTGAAAAGTAGATGAACTTTCACGATATTTCAAATTTCAGAGTTTTAAATATCAAACCTTAGCCTTATTACAGAGGACACTTTGCTCCTTAAAGAATAAATTTCTTTTTAAAAAATTGGAGCCATTTTCCAGAAAATGGTCACAATTTCCAATAAGCTTCATATAAATTTCCCTAAAAAATAAAAACAATCACCTCTACACTCACAGGGAATAGATTTCAGCCAGATTGTACAGTTTAGACACACCACTACTGATCACTCATATATGAACAAATGTTTGTTTCTTTTTTGTTCTTAACACAAGACTTTCACTTTGTGAACCAAAACTTTCAAACCCCAGTAAGTTGAACATTGCTTCATACCCATCACTGGCGTATTTGCATTATTCTTTGATGCTTCTGGTAAGGACTTAGAAGGAACATCACATTACGTTTGCACAGAATATTTCACATATTTTCCTGAATTGTGTGATTGCATTTACAGTTAGTGGACTCATATTGATGAACGAATGGTTTTCAAATTACAAATGTTTTGAATGATGGTGTCCATTTTTTAATAATTTAAATTAATGACCAAAAGCGCATGTGCAGGTTAATAATAAATAAATGATTGCAGGAAGAGATCAGTTTAAAAATGAAATCTGATGAATATCATGAGAAAAAGATTTAGTGAAATAAATTAACTGTGTGTTCAGTAAGTTTACGAATAAAACACTTTCAGAAAAACATTGATAACCTTTTTTTTTCCTTTCTTCTGAGTAACAATTGTGAAAATTTAAAAATTTCTTTGTAAATCTGAACAATAATATAAGAATCACAAACAACACATACTAGAGAACTGAAAATTGATTATTTTGCAAATCCTTGAATACATTAGCATTTCCTTAAGAACATTTTCCATCTGCCTCAATTTCAATCATTATGTCCCCCCCCCCTTTTCAATTCACTTCTTTTTAAACAGAATGATGCTTATTCAAATATAGCTAATAAGTTATTCTTTTAAATTGTGGGTAATATACTTGCAGATTATATGCTCGCTTCTTGTCACGTATAATTATTGTAAACAAAGTTAAAATACTTGGAAAATTTTACAATGGAATAGGTACAAAATAAATATAATAAAAGAAGAAGTGTATCCTAACTTGATTAGAAAATGTTAATATGATTGTTGAAAAATAGATATTAGAGAAGAAGAAATCTTCCATTCAACTTTATCACTAACCATGGTACTGCTAATAATCACTGCTGATTCAATACATTCTACTCATATGCTGTTAGGAACACTTGGACAATGTCACTGTATGTGAACTAAATTTATATTGAATTTATTACCATTTGATTTAATCCCACGTATATGAATTATTAAAAACTAAATTGTTCCAACCTTTCCCCTCCAAAACTTAACATAATAAAAAATATATCACTTAAATTCTTTCTTACATTCTTTCACTTGAAAGAATGTAATAAAATAGTTTTGCCTTTTCTTACTACACTTTATCTTAAAGGTAGGCATCAACTGAAAACGGCATTCTTAAATACCCCAATATCAAGACTATTTTTTCTATTTTAAGACCGTTGATAAATTCAAATACTCATTTATTTGAATATTGTTTATTAATGACCAACTTTGATACTGACATATTCATAACTATTGGCTACAAAATTCACATTAAAACATTATGACAATAATTGTTTTTATAAATCAGGTATTGTCTTAAAAAAAATTGTTAGAACTTCAAATCTATTAATTTGGGTTCATAATGAATCAATCTTTTAGTCTGATATCTACAGAAGACTCAACATTTGTTACTTTTTTCACTGTTCTTATGTGAAATGGTATGTAACTTTTAGTTTTCAAATGTTGGTTTAAAAAATAATAGTAAATACATGCAGTTGGATACAATTAATCCTTTACGTTAAGTTGAGGAGAAGGATCGGCAGAATTATATTTGGCATAACAATTTTGTATTAACATTAAAAAACCAACCTACTCCTTTCTCTTTATTTCTTTTTTTTTTTACTAAAGGTAATTTCTCTTACTGTGTTTTCCTAGAGATTATTGATGCTGCAGAGAATGATTATCTCTGAACAGTAATTTTTTTCTTGTATTTCAAATCTTTTTGTGGGGGCAGATACATTTTTCACAGAGGTAGTAGTAGACTCCATAGTGTGTGTGTGTGTGTTTTAATGTTAAATCATTGAAAATATGAGAACGGTGTGTTATGTCATTGTGTATCCTTCATTCTGGTATTGTATGTATGCATGCATGTGTAATGATATGGGCCTATGGGCCTATTAGGGATATGGTTGCCTTTTGTTAATAACACCCTTCTACACACTTAGTTAACTCCTGGTTCCTTGCCACGAAAATCCATTTTTATTCCAAAACTCAGCTGAACACCCTTCAACAAGATTCACACGTGCTTGGTTCCTTTCCTTGGCTGTCCAGACATTTCATCAATGTTCTTTGCACTTCTGTTTCTGGTAAGAAATGCCAACAAAATCACTTCAAAGTTTCCAATACCAAAAATACAAGAAAACGCTAAGAAAGTAGTGATTCATGGGGTAGCTGTTCATGTCACTATAATCCTAAAGTTCCATCCCCTCCAGGACAATGTTGTTCACTACTAAACAGTGTTGGACACAAAAATAATACAGGAGACGAAAATTTTGCAGGTTGACAAAAGAACATCCGTAGAAAGTATTTTGCTAGTTGAGAAAATAAATCATAGTAATAAGAAGAGATTATCAACAGTATTCCATCATCAATAGCTGAAAGCCAGAGAGACCCATCGCGTGATACTAGAACGCATCACCTTATGTACTTCCTTTACAGCCTTCTCCCAAACTACCTCACCATCTCTCTTACATTCCATAACAAGCACACTTTTATTTTTATTTGTGTTATTTTACGTACCATATAATTTCTTCAAATACATAGGAGTGCCATAACATTGCACTCTGCCATGGTCCATGATTGCAATGCGATCCCCAAGAACATCAGCTTCTTCCATGATGTGAGTTGTGATAAGAATAGTGCGCGACCCACGCATGCTCTGAAGAATATCATTATCATCATTGCCATCATCTTCATTCTGATTATATTATTATTAGCAATTTTTTCTCAAACAATATAAAATACTGCTTACCAGAAGCAAATCCCAGATCTCTCTACGAGCTTCTGGATCCAGACCAGAAGTAGGCTCATCCAATATGACTGTCTGGAAAAATAGAAAAAGAAAATTAATATAACACATCTAGAAGTTTTATTAACATTTTAGCTACAAATGGAAAAGCTTTCCCTCACGTTCTCAGCTCAGCAGTACATATGGGATATTTCTCACATGACAGAGAGTGGCAGAGAGAGAGAGAGAGAGAGAGAGAGAGAGAGAAAGGGAGAGAGAGAGAGAAAG